TCCCCATGAGATGTGACACAATTAGAAGAAGATGGAATCATACATATGTATACAGATTCCAGCACAATGTAATTATAATACCTGATGAATGGATAGTACACATGACCAAATTCTGAAGACATCTAACAAGATGTGACATGAAGTCTGGAGGTTTCTGGTGTTATTTGAACCAAAATATATCATATTGAAGAGATGATTGATGTTACAAATCACCAAAATATGCCCAAAAAGTTCATAAAATTCCACATATTTGTGAACATTTTGTGACAAATGCTCAGGGGGACCTTCCAGATATCCACATTTTTTGTACTTATGTGCTCCTATTAGCTCCTATATGTTCCTATATACTGTAAAAGGCCCCAAAATGGCTTTATCTGCATGGATAGTCCAGTAATTACTTGACATTCCCCCCCTTTATGATACTAATTCCCAGAGGGTGTGTTTCCTGATGCAGTTTCCGCCGTCACCGGTTCATATAAGGCTGGCCACTTATGCACCCGGTTCACGTTCAGTACGACACGAGATTCCAGTCGAACACTACTGATTGTTCATAGCAACATGTCCTTGGTACCGACTACAGGCGCTGTGCTCATTGGCATCTTCATCTCGAGCGCGCGAGTGTTCAGGATATAATTACCTCGTCGACATAAGCTAAACGATATCCATACAGGCTATGGGGACTTATGACCTCGCAAGTATATATCTATATGCAGAGAAACTGGAACAAGGATACGTGGCGCCTGAAGTCTTATGTGAGTTGCAATTATACTCGTATTCCACATGTTGCAATGATCGATGGTTGGCTATGATGTAGATTGTCTACATTTGGTTCGTGCATTATCTAGTCCCTGGCGACGACACCTCTTCTTAAAAAAAACACAGGCTTTTGGAGACCGTTCACGCATTTTTGATATGCGCCTTCATCTTTCGACTTGTGATCATTGAGTTTGGGAACACGGCGGCCTCACAAGTCACTCGAGTGTAGATCCGATAATTTTTGATTTAAACAGCCGCTGATTGCATATCAAGCTCCGACGACGTGAACACAGGGATAACGGTCCGTGGTTGTGATTACTTCACTTCGACTCTCGTCTGATTTGAGTCTAAGGCGCTTACCATATTCTCAATACATCTGCAAGTTGTACTTATCACGCATAGCACGCGGAGACTAACCGAACTATAGCTTCTACGCGTGGCGTTTATGGATTCGTTCGTGCTCTTATGTTTAACACCGAACGAGCCGCTGAAATTATCGTTGTTCGAAGTCAGCAACAAAAACTACATCCTAGTTGGCGTGGTGGTCAGTATCACTCCTTGCTCGATGTAAAACTGTAGCTCAGAACTTGATGCAGACTATTCTAGCATTCGCTCACTTCGGTGAGTATTTTCTGCCAACCAATATTATACGACCATAGCATGCAAATCGCATGTATCGCAGGATTAGAAATGGGTGAGTATAATAGAGCAAATGGACAGTGGACCCTCTGATGATCTCTTCTTACAGCTGTCATGGCGTTGACGTGCGTTACTCATGATGCAGTCCGGCCTAATATCTGATGGCATTCCGGTAGATTTGTATTCCCGAAGTTCTCGCAATTCCGAAGGATCACAGTATGCGCATCCGTAACGGTAAATCGGATTCCTTGCCTGAATTACTCTCGCAGGGCTATTACACCGGATCCATGGCTGTCGCAGCCGCAGACGATATTATTATCGCACTCGCAATGACCTACTACCTGAGCACTCGCCGCACAGGTATCAGACGGTGATTATTGATTATCTCGTCATACACGTACAATTTGTTCATCTCTGGTAGAACAAACACATTGGTCAACCGCATTATCACATATGTTATCACGACTGGCGCGCTCACCAGCGTGATTGATATCGCCATCCTCATATGTGTATGTTTATGATGCATACCCTATACTTGATTTTACTGACACGGCTGTAGTTCGTCGTGATGCCAGACAATCTCGTCTATCTAAGCATGTATCAATTCGTGGACAATCGTGAGTCAATTGTTGAACCTCCCATGTTGATGCAAACGATCATCTCGATTTCACAGTTTATGCAAATTCTCTTCTTGCTATGTACGTTGTTCTCTCCATATTCTGGGCACATCGGTTCATCCAGGTCATCAACACGAATCCTAGGCTTAACGCCCGCGAGATGCTCAGCCAGGCCTCATATGGCAGTACGACTATCGCGTTTTCCAACAATTACCCGCTCTCGGGTGTACGCGTTCAAGTTCAGAACAATAAGGTGGCTGAAAGCTCGGGAGAGGAACCTCGCAGAGGTCTGGCGAACGATGCAATCGCAAGTCAGGTATGAGGCCATTGCCATACAATCACTGCGGTCCAAATCACAAACTGATCTACGACATTCCAAGCTCCGATTTGCGTCTGAGGATGCAAGTGATGCCACGAAAACATTTAACAACTCGTTCTACGGCGTTGTTTAACGTGCAACAATGGGCGTGGCTCTCAACGAAACTTCGGATCCGTCCTAACTCATGATGGGTTGAGTATCACAAGATCTCATGTAGTGTGTAATCGTGTATATAACAGTAGGCGCTGCCTCTATGTATTCAAAGTTCGGAGTATACAGAGACGGAGATCGTCTTGATATATTAGGAATCTTTCGAGATATCACCGCGGCCAAATGAAGGGTAGAGTGCAACTCAACCGAACGTCAACGCCAAACGGTGAACCTCGATGAGATGGATAACGCCGGCAACGGGCATGAGTAACGTTGGTAGTGCACCATGTTCTCGTCACAAGGTCTCATGATTCCCATTATCCAATTCGAGAACAGCAGGGACTACAATCCAGCACTCGTTCGTAACAGAACATCACTACTACCGGCATATTTTCATTCATCATTGAACATTCAGGCCGATGAAGCTATACATGACGTTAAAGTCGACTCCTCGGTTCGTAATCATGACGCAGTGCTGCCCAGATGGCCGACGCGAGACCTTTAGGGTCTTCCTGTGGAATCTTCGAAATGCGCATCAGCGATTCGAGACTAAATCATATGAGATGCCAGATTCACATACCGCATGTCCAGCCCCGGGAATCTTCTTGATTGTAGCCATTTTTCGGCCCTCTTTTTCATTCAGAATCACTTGCTGCATCTCATCGGAGCTAATAAGCCCCGACACAAATTAGCATCTGAAATCCGCGGGCAAAAACAATCTTTCCAACGTACACCATCACCGACGTGCCCGAAAATATGCAATGCACGGGTATCATTTGGGAAAGCGGACCTAGCTTCTCGAGACTGTCTAGCCCGTCTTGATGGTAGATATAGCCCGCGTATTCCTGTTCGCGGGTACACGAGAGCGTCACGCCTTCTGTAATGTCAGGGTACTTCGCTGTAGGCAAGTCCCTGAGAGCGTATTCCTGAGGTAATTGGGCGATGAGAAGACCAACCTCGCGCCTGAATTTAATGCTATAACGCACGACATAGAGGTCCAGAGCCTCCGGTTCCCAGCGATTCCACGGCATGCGCTTTGCGAGCCATTCACGAGCAGCTGTACGAGATGGCCATACGTCCTTGCGCTTGCTCGCGAATTTGGTGGCGAGGACGATAGATGAATTGGGTTGCATAACATGTTTGATGGTCTCCTTGTTCATCATGGGCGGTTCAATCAGGATCATGGAGCGATACGGAAGTTGCGATTCGGGGAACGTAGCTGCCGATAAGATGCTACATGTGGTGAAGATCGAATGGAATCAGTGAACAGATGACAACGTAACCCAAACACGCACATGACACATGTGCCCGCTGAGTGACCAATGCCAATCACGGCGTTGCCGGCAATCAGACCCGCCTTCAGCAGAACTTGAACTGCGCGACCCCATTCATATGCAGCTAATGAGGAGTGGGCATGTTAGAGACCTCTACCTAACATAGACCAAGGTAAGAAAGAGCGTACACATCCCAGGCGGACGAGTTTGCAGGCGCTGCTCGTTGATCACGGCAGCACGTCCATGATTTGGGGAATCTATGCACCATGCCTCTAAGACACGGAAGACACCATCAGGGGCAGCCGCCTGCAAACGAAAGATCTGCTCTATCGTTGGCTTCCACGATTCTTTGTCTGTACAATATCGTTTACTGCACCATTCTGCGTTCAAACTCGAAGCTACGATAAACTCACGGTTTGATACTCCATGCGCAAAGATGAGCGACAATCGTTCCTTGACTGCGTGTGAATTCAAATTCGTTGCAGGTCTGTATCGCATGAGCGCAACAGTCAAGCCGCCGTCTGCTTCATGTCCAGGGAGTGTGAAGTCGGTGGCCTCTAACATAGCGCGTGAGCGTCAGAGCTGGGTGATACCGGGGCGGTGGGAGGTACTGCGTATATAACTAATTTCCAAGCAAGTGTCGGCGGAGAAAAGCAGTCATGATCTCGTTCTCGAAAGCAGAAGGCACAAGTTGGCAGTCTATGCGCCCACAGAGTGCCACGGGAATCCTGAACCGCCCGTCCCCAGCGCGTGACAGGCTCGTCACAAACCCCCTTCTCTTATGTGAGTAAGGGGGCGCCTTGCGCCGGGTTCCGACTCCCCCAAATCAACAGTGATGTCGAAGTCGCCGACTAGCCGCGTGTTAAGTCTCAAGTCGCGGAATATGCGGCTATCCGCGTTAAGTCGCGACTAAGGCCTGCGAGTTTCGACGCGCGAAGGCCGGCATATAACTTAATATATAACTCTCACCTGCGGCCGCGACCGCGGCGCGGCGCGCCACTTTCGGCTGTCGGGACCTCGTCGGCAATCTACCTACCTACCTACCTACCTACCTACCTACCGTGATGTCGAACCTACATAAGATCGTGCTGTCGTTCTGGAGTCTGCGTCTTGCGCCTCAACAGTGTCCACTGCCGAGTATATATGGGAGCGCAGTATGCAGAGCCAAAATTCCCCACAGATGATGTGACTAGATCCTCCAGCCATAGGCGCCATCCAGCATCCCTCAGATTGCACTTCAACTAAGTTCAAAGACCGCAACGCTCATTTTTATCTATATAAATGCGTATCTCTCGAATTCGCGACGCTGACGCCGCTTTACGAGGATCACCATGTCTGACATCTCCCTGGATCAAACGGCCGTTATCTCGAAGTTTGTGGAAGGTCCTGCGTATGGCAAGCATCTCCATCTTCATACCCATAAGGATATGGCAGCTGAAAACATCAGGGTTTTCGCTTCTCATGTTCGGGTTGACAGTGTACGAACTACTGCGTACTCAGGCGACTCAAAGACTCCTAAATTTTCTACGTTGTGTGTTTGCTGCGGGCTGGCGCATCCGCGGTACTGTTTCACATCCACTACGAAGGATAAACCGTTTTCTGACATGCGTCCGGTACTCTAGTACGTTTTGATCAACTTCATACATTTTTTCCACAGATTCGTCAAGATTCCCGACACACTTCGCCAGCGTTAAGGACGCAACGTTCGTTGCCAAGCAAGTCGTCCTTGTATATCAGACACTGCTGGGCGATGACCTCGTGGTGAGCATGTTAAAAGTCGGATATGCCGCAGCGTCTCTGAATCACAGAGCTAGATCTGGCGATGCTACATTGTCTAGCACAGCGTCCAGCTAAACGTCCTTCCGATATTGCTGTGGTGCGGACTCGCTGGTGACTGGACAATCCTTTGTTTATCAGAGCGCGCTTCTAACAATCTATTCTCGCTATAGCTTCGGCCTCGGGGCATCATCGCAATCACCAGTTTGACCGCCCATTCCGACGGTTTCTTCTTCAAACCGACGAAAGCGTGGATCGCCCTCTTCTACTCGACGTCCTTGGCCGCAAACCTAGTCGGCACATGTGAGTGGATCGTCACCTCCCAATGATGACGTATCTTCTGACCGCCCTTCAGGTCTGTTGGCGTACCTATTATGGTCTTCTCGGGAAGTTGAGACTTTCAATGCTCAATTCCGCAACACGCCCATAGTCGTGCGCGTCATGATGGAGTCTGGGATGCTATACTCCGTCGTGCTCGCGGCCACCCTCGTCCTCTTCGCCTGCAACCTCAACGCGCAATACATAATCGCAGACGCCGTGAGCACACCCATGTCTGACTCAGTGATAAGAATCCAGACAATTGATGACTTGCAATCCTCGTCTAGCTTCCCTCCGTCATCGCCATCTCCTTCTACCTGATCATCATCAGGCTGGCGATCCATCGAAGACGGATGGCGGTGATAAGCCCAGGGGGTCATCTCAGTCAAGCTACCAGGCCGGTTCCACGTGGCCGGCCGCTGGATATCGTCCTCACGAAGTCTACGGAAGCAATCGACCGCGCGGGTCGACGGGATCAGAGCGATGAGGACGGCCCGGAAGGGCGTGCGGAAAGGGCCGTAGGTGATCTCACAGACGTTACGCACTCAATTGTGGATGAGTATATGCGACATGTCTGACAGGGATCGAGCGAGTAAATACCAGGAGTGATATGTATGTATCATCATTATGAGAGGATCGCTCCTCTTTTGGTTGTGGACAAGAATACGCGGGATGTTCGCAGAGCGACTCCCGGGGTATAAGTACAAACAACACTAAGCACGTCGGAAAAGAGAAAGATTAGACGAGATGCTTGGACAAGAACCTACACGTCTGCGCGAGCGCGCCCTCGAATCCTTTCCTGACGTCGTCGATCTCCAGGTTGGGCCGCGCCGCGAAGCCGTGCACGGTGTTGGCGTACAGGACAAACTCGGCCTCGAGCCCGCTCTTCGCCTTGAGCGTCTTCTCGGCCTCCGTCCGGAGCTGGTCGCCGAACTGCGCGTCCGACTCGGCGCAGGCGAAGGAGATCGGCTTCTGGATCGCCTTGATGTCGTCGATGTTGAGCATCGACGGGTGGCAGGCGACGGAAGCGGTCAGGTCGCCGGTGCCGTTGAAGTGCACGGAGAATTTGCCGCCGTAGCAGTATCTGGGGCGCATATACGCGATGTTCAGTACGAATGTAGGGTAGGTCGGAGCGTGCAAGCAAGGTGGACGCACCCGACCGCGCCGAGCTTTTCGTGGCCTTTCTCGATCTTCAGGACCTTGAGGAACTCAGCCGCCGCCGGGAAATGCACTGCCGGCCGGTGCTTCATCACGACTAATGCACGACATCAGAAAAAAGAAACGTTCGTTTTCCGAACTCGGACGCATATAGTCTCACATGGGATGAATGCGCTCATCAACTTCCCCGTCGATGCGATCTTAGAGAGCGTCCCCTGGGCTTTCGCCGCCTGCGCGGTCTCCGGCATTTTCAGAGCATCAGGTGCTATTCCTCCACCTGCGCGGCGAGTTCGTTATGGGGCGCACGGGCGCAGTTGGCAGTGCATGCGTACCGTTGAACAGATCCGGGACGTAGACGGTCAGGCCCGTCTTCTCCGCGATCATATCAGGGATAAGCTTGTTGTTTTGCAGCTATATGCAGGGCAAACAAGACGGGAGATTAGCTCACCACCTCGTGAGACATGCAGAACGACCGTGCGTACCCTCAACCCGAACGCATCGTAAAAGTAAACGATGGCCGCCTTCTCGTTCTTGTTCTGCTCCGGCTTGGCGACGTAGGTGTTGAACGGGCCGATCTTGCTCTCGCTGCCTTTCGGCGTTCCCTCGAGCTTCACGCCCTTGAAGCAGTCGTCGCAAAGCTGTTCCTCAGGCGGCAGAGACGACATTTCGAGCAAGGGCGAACTGGTACGGCAGACGTCGACGTCGAGAAAGGGCAGTTCAACCTTAGCAGCGAGTCATCTTCGCCATTGAAGCCCTTTTATACACGCAGCGCTAATCATGGCGCCCACGGCGAAGCCCGTTTGTATGGATTTATGTTTGGAAGTCGATCAGCGGGATTCAGCGCTGCGTGCATAGAGCGCACCCACTCGGCTGGCCCACACCAGGAGGAGAACCCACACGAAGCTAACTGTGGGATAACAACGACCTGATTGGGGGCAGCCCTACCTCCCGAATCACAGCCGAAGCAGATTGAATGCCTCATCATGCTTGTACGTAGATATCGACCCGCCACGAGTTGTCATCGGAGGATCTCGCAGTTCTCGAAATACGATTCTACCGTGCATCAATCACCTTTCTACTAGACGGCATCAGAAAACGGTTCTATCAACCCCTTTGGTCTTCCATTATCAAAACTAATAGCACAAAGAAAGCGGTGTGGCTAAAGATACACAAATGCAGGGAGCGGCGCGGTCTCTTGTTTTGACGAGGTTCCGAATATAAAACTGAATGCAGTGGGGGACATGACTCGTACTTAATGTACAATGCCCCTTTCCCCAAAACTGCAGCTACTGCACCACACCCCCACTCGCAAATCGCGTTCGTAGTAGGTCTCGGAGCGTCGTCTAGACGAGGGTGGCGAGCGAGATCTGGTTCTTGGTCACGTCCGTCGAGAAGTAGGCGTTCTTGAGGAACACGTCGCCGACGAGCCACTCCGTCGCGCCGCCGATCTGGCCGGAGGAGATGCCGGATACGCAGTCGCCGCTGAGGTCGGTGGGGTCCACGGGCGAGAACTTGAGGTCGACGGGGTTGATGGCGAACGTCTGGCCGCCGAAGCTGAGCGCGACGCTCGCGTTCGTCGTGCACGGCACGGTGAACCCGCCCTGGCCGTCCGACTTGGCGCCCGTGATCAGCTGGTGCACCGCCGCGGCGTCCGCGGGGGGCGCGACGACGAGCGTGGTGCCGGTGTCGAGGATCGCCGTGCGCCCTTGGAGGCCGGTGTCGGTGCCGTCAACGGTGACGGCGTCCATCGCACCCTCCCAGAAGCCCTGGGTGTTGACGTTGTCGAAGGTGACGAGCGTGTTGGCGTCGAACTTGGTGTCGTCGAGGCCGCCGAAGGTGACCTCGCCGTCGTTCTTCTCGTCCTGGAGACGCGAGATCTTGTACGAGACAATCGCGTCGTTGATCAAGCCGGCCTGAGCCAGCGACTCGGGAGGCGTGAGCACCTGCTGCTCCGACAGGGTCTGCAGCGACGATCAGCATCACGTGCTTCGAACTGATATGATCGAATGGGGGCAACTGACCGACTGCGCGAGACCCATGATACCGTCGAAGGGCACGGAGTCATCAGAGAAGTCGACGCTCTCCTGCTCGGCGACACCGAACTCGTGCGCGTTGAGCTGGAGACCGGCGATCGCGACGTTATCGGTGATCTTCACGCCGGCGACGTTACCGGTACCGTACGTGACCTGGAACTGCTGGTTCGACGCCTTGAACGTCGACGAGCTCTGGGTGCCGAGGAGGTTGTGGTTGCCGCAGTCGCCGCCGCTCTCGGATTGGCAGTTCTCCGCGCCGACCCAGAAGTCGGCGGAACCGGAGTCCATGAGCATGTTGAAGTCCTTCGGAGGGGTGCCGATCTGGACGGTCGCGATGTATCCGACATCGTTGGCCCTGGATCGTGCCGGTGAGCATAGGGGTCAGGTTACGATTGACCAAGAGCCACTTACTCGATAGCCAGGCCCAGAGAGTTGTTGGCAGTGGGCGTATTGGCTTGGGTGAGGCCTCCGGCGTTCTGAGCGTCGAGAGCAGTCTCAGAGAAAGGAGCGCCGGTGTCGTCACTAGCAGCCGCAGTGCTCGACGCGACACCACCTGCAGCAGCCGCACCTGCACCTGCACCAGCGGCGGCAGCGGCGGCAGCAGCCTTGGCCTTGGCGCCTTTAGCCTTCCTGCCGCCCTTCAGTTGGTTGCCACCCTTGAACTCGTTGACGGTGACGTCGGACTCCTCGATGGTGTTAAGGGTCTTGACCTTCGTGCCAACTCGGTTGAAGCGCTTGCCGACGGACGTGCCAGGGCGGCCGCCGGGGGGGATGTACAAGCGCTTGTGGAGGTTCTCCTCAAGCTCGCGCTTGGACGGGGCCTCGCGGCCGGTCATCAGCGCGAGGCGCTTGTGCGCGCGGTTGATGTGTTGTTGCAGGAGCTACGGCAAGCCATCAGAACGCGATTTCCACGCTTCAATCTTACGGTGGGGGACACTCACGACCTGCGGGTGGATGTCATCCCTCGGCTTGTGCAGGCGCTTGAGGGGAAGGGTGATCATCCCGGCATTGCGCCTGAAGGGGGCCGCCTCGACGCTGTCGGCAGAGGAGAGGACCAAAAGGACGCTTGCCAGAAGCACGGAGAACGAGAGACCGAGCTGCATTGTGTGGGCGGAATGAAATGAAAGACCAGACCGGGGTTGAAAGAACGGGGACGAGGGAAGGGGAAAGTAGATACCGAAGGCCCAGCCTGGGGAGTGAGGAAACCGCGAACCGGGGTGCCATTGTGGTTTTATACGGTTGCTGGGGTGCGGGGCGCCTTCTCCCTGCGGTCACGGCTTCCGATCGGCTGCAAGCATGGCACACCATTGTGGTCGACGAAGGGCCGCCGGTCGTAACGACGCGTGACGTCACAGTACAAGTCACAGACAACGCATGCTTCGCACGCTTCTGGATGTCTTTGTTGCCAGCATCGTTGCCGACTCGTACCATCGCGGTTTTAGCCCCTCGGTCGTTATTTCGGGTACAGTCTGGTATGGATACGTTCCTGTGCCTTCTACAGCGACTGCACGTCCAACACTCTCTGCTTGTAGTTGATTTTAGGATCTCTTGAACGTGACGGAGTGCTATATGCTGATCATGATGCAGAATCAATTTGGAAGTGTTACATCGTTCCGTGGCCTCTTCTTGGTCTCATCATGGCTTTTCATTCGTGACAACGGACCTTCCGCAACTCCGATCTTTGTGCGTTGGTGGTGGCACACAGGTGATCAAGATCACAAACCCGCATCATGATGTCTATCTCCCCATAGGACACACACGCATTCCAATTCTTACACGATCCTCGAAAGCAAGCAACATGACGAAGAACGCTAAAGCCTCGCCCTAGCAACTGCGTGCTCCTCAGCAATCACCGGAATATGCAAATCCCCCTTCGTCGACTTTACGATATCGGGGTACAGCGTCGCCTGTGTCACGCATCAGCCGTGGCACACATATATATATCATCGAACCGTAACGCCAGCGCTCACCTTAATCAACCCAAGACTTCCCTCCTTCGCAAGGGTACTGACCCGTTGGGCAACTTGCTGAGCCTTCGCCAGCACCGCTTCCGTGTCACTGCCTCCCTCTACGAGCACGTCCACCAACCCCGCTTTAAGCGCCTCCTGCGGCGTGAAGCGATACCCCTCTACCGCGACCTGCCGATGTACCTGCGCGCTGCCGACCTTACCCCGCAGGAGACCTACAAACGACTCTGGCCACGCGGCGCCGAAATGAACCTGCGCAGGTAATCCGTCAGTCACCCCCTTCGTTTCCGAAAGCAACCAGAGTCTGCAGAGCCCCGGGGATGGGACAGGGGGAAGGGGCGTGGCGCGAGCGTGCGTTCGTGACTTAGACTTGCCTCGTTCATGCACATCCAAGCGCGCCGCTTGCTCGCGTCGGTCATGACCCGATAGTCGCAACAAAGGCTAATCATCATCCCCGCCGCGAAGCAGTGGCCGTTGATCGCAGCGACCGTGGGTACTGCACAACGAAGAGCATGGTCAGACTTGTACGTGTGACCTCTTCCACCCGCAAGCAGGGCCAAGCTTTGCGAGCTCCCGGACGATAGCTTTACTCAGCCTGGTGCCCAAAACCGGGTGCAGAGGGGTTGCTTCGGGGCTCGCGGGGCGACGGACATCATGATCAGGTTCGGCACTGTGACACTCACTAGGGAACGTGAGAAGGCGTCGTAAGAAGGGGTTCAGCGTCGCTGCGTCGTCACAAGCAAAGCCTCAGCGTCCTGCGAGGTATCCCCATCTCAACATAGTAATGCACAGAAAACATACCAGGGAAGAACGCGTCACTGCCTTTGACGTTGTCGTAATCGAGGCCTATAAGCAGCGCGCATGCCATCAGCTCCCGTTAATTATGCAATTTCCGAGGCGGATGCTGACGCACCGTTACTGAAGAACTTGTCTTGCTTCCGGTTCCCGACAATTATAAGAGCGCCGGCTCCAAGATCCTTGTTACCAGAGGTATAGCCCTGGTGCCATGCGTCGCGCCATTCCTTCTCCACCAGGTCGAGCGCCGGTTTGAACCCGTGGTCGATGAACGTAGGCGTGATCCTGCTATCCTCTCCGTTGTGCATCTCGATGACCCATATGGACGAACTGGCTTCCCTCCGAGTTTCAATCCGTTTGTCTCATAGCGACACGCGAAGCAAAGCGCCACATACGATGCGTGACCGTCAAGAGCGGTTTTTCCGACGGGAGGCTGAGCGGGTAAGACATGGTTGGATTCAAGTCGTCGGCTTCGTCGTGGGGTCCTGGTTTGTTATACAGTGCGGGGTATCGCCAGTGCAAGGTATCCGGGCGCAAGCAAGAAGAAACCCGGTACATATGCTGTCTAACACGTGAATGAGAATCGGGCTATCGGCACTGGCACAGCCACCGGCATCCTGCCCAGGTCCGGGTATGCCATCCTCCAGACGCAGGTGCGAGAGCAGGCTCGCTGTTCGTTTGTGTTGACTGGTATGTATGAACGTCGAGGGGAGTAACGAGCGCCTGTTGACAAGTTCAACACACGGGCATGTCACGCCGGCGCCGTATGACCGGCCGCCTCAAAGCACCCATGCGCGACCCTCGCGCGTTGTCAGGGACTCGCGGCTAAGGCCAGGAATATCGTCCAGAACCGGTCCAGAAAACCAAGCTTTTCTGTGAAGATCAGACCATCCTGAAGTCAGATCGCCGAGGTGTCTCTCAAATCGACGCGCTCATTTATATGACCCTACGTTCGCACCGCGTCTCGTTATGTACAGATTCGCAATTCATGTCGCAATACGGTTCTGCGCACTTCTTGCACTTGTACGCGCCCCAGTAGCCACACACGGTGCAGATCATACGCGGAGGCTCAGGTGGAGGTGGAACGACAGCCGTCAAATACGTAGGCACGTCCGGCGGAAGATCAGCGATTCCCTGTGGGTGTGCGACCGAGCCCGTGAGCACGCGCGTATAAACCACCGGCAGAAGCGAGCTGTAGCCATACCGACTCGTCGATCAGCGTCGCCAGGTTCTTCTTGTACAGGATGGCCGTCCGGACGTTCATCGTCGACTTCTTCTTGCGTCCCCAGTTGCGCTTGTCGGAGATGGTCTGGCGCGCGCGGCTCTTGGCGGTGCGCCCACCCCCGCCTTCGTCGTCGTCGTCGTCGTCGAGGCCAAGCGCAGCATATGGCGCCGAGGGCTCGCTGTAGTTTGATCTCTGTTGCTCGTGGCCCGGTTCAGCCGTGCCACGACCATCGGAATTCATGAGAAACTCGCCTCGAGCTCGTCGAGATGCTTTTTTCGTCGTTTTGTCAGGAGGTCGGGGTCGATGCCCGCGGCTGTCTGCTGAACCTGTCTGCTCGCTTGGCGTGCGGCATTTCTCAGTATATCGACGCGTACGAAAGGAGATCGAGCTTACGCTGCCTGCGAGGAGGCATGGTCACGATCCTTGTCACTGTCAGAAGACAAGTCGCCGAGCACAGCTTCAATGAAGTCATGGATCTTGATACTTCTACGTATATCATATATCGTACATATCGATGCATGTCTTTGATGAGTACGTTCAAACCATGGTTGATTGCAAATTGCTATCACACCCTATCCACAGAGACAGATATCGTATAACATGAACTTCTTGCGCAGGTTTGAACGACAAGGTATAAAAAGACAGTGCATCCGCGCCCTGGGTCTTGCAAGTTGGTATGAAACCTATCCAGGTGCGTAACAGGCGGGTAGAGCAGGATTAGAAATGTCATAACGGAAGAATCTCGATTCAAGGGATATAACCCAATCGGGTGAAGCTCCTTCCTAATCGAGGTTGATGCGACGGCGGCCTCGATATTCGTTTGCCCTGTGCGTCACATTTACCCCGGGATCGAAGACATCCGCAAGAGATGACGTTGGGCGACGGAATCATATATGAGCAAACCCAGGTTGCTTGCTCGCCGCACAAACCAATCCACCAACCTCGTCCATCTCTTTCACCACCCAAACTTGAATCATTATGAGCGGAGGAGCTGTAAGTCACCACTCAGGCGTCGGAATGCCATGCTCACGTGGGAACCTCCGCGCTAGGCCGGTTTCTTGCACGACGGGCGCGAGTATAAACCTGATACCGTTGAGACCATCGACCGCGCCAGCGGTGTCGACGCTACATCCCAGCAACGCGCCAAGCGCGAGGATCGCGAAACGGCCAAGTCCGAGGAAACGGGCACCGTGTCCAAAAGTATGTGGTCATATCATCGTGGCCATGCTTGAAGCTTACCGTACTCAAAGGCGAGATTGATTCTTTGAAGGCTGACCAGTACCCTGATGAACAGAACGTCGAGGGGCGCACACGAGGAATCAAGGTAGATGCATTCAAGCAAGAGCGGGAAATGGACAAGTTCCTTGACGAGCAGGGAATCACGGATGCGGACCAGGACGTGGAGATTAGTAAAGCCAGCGGGAGGGCTTGAGTCATGACCGATGTAGAACATTAAACTGTAATGATCGCTTTAAAAGCAACTTGATTTCCTTTGTATTCAACTCTTCGTGAGATACCACAGGTCATTCTGAAGATATGCACACATACGTAGCCATTTTACATAACAGCGCAAGACAAATTGCTATTTTCGTGCTTCCAGCCAGGCAATTCGTTGATATCCTTTGACGTCTCTTCGCGGCCGTCGCTGTGCGAAGGGTCGCCCACGCCCGGTCTCCACCGCCACTTCTGCGCGAGTTCCTCATCGAGCTGAGGTAGAGCCCATTAAACTTCGGCGCAGTTATATCCGCAAGTGCTTACCTTGCCCTCAAGGAGGTCCGCGATCCATTTCCCGACTACAGGAAGAAAGGAAAAACAGTGCCTGCTCAACAGAATCAGCGTGGAGGAAAAGAAGAAAGAAGATGCTGACACACCCGCTATCGCCCGAAGCGATGGTCAAGTTCTTGTACCCGGGGTAAGGTGTAATTAGCCAATACCTATCCGCAGTGTCTGCATCGCCGATGAGAGATCAGCTGAATTAATAACATGAGACGACGAAGTGGATTACCTGTGCACCAGCACATCTTCTGGTCCAGCTGGGGACGATCCGTAAAGCGGGGAAGCATAGATTGGATAACTTTGCTCATCGTCTTGACGCTTTCGTCGGGGACGGTGTCCGTCGGATGCTCTGCATGCGACCGGGGAACGGAGATACGCGAGGGTTTGGACGCGCCGAAAGGTTTCACGTTCTCTTCGTAATGCGTGAACCCGGGGAACCTGGCACCGGTGAGCTGACGAGGACGAGGGGAACGACGACGAACTCACTCGTCACAAACCTTGATTAGATTATCCCTGCGGGTCTTCAGGTCAACCTCCCCGATGAAGTCGCGGTTTCGCACTCACCTAGATGGCTCGAAGAAGAAACCCTGTTGCGTGCATCAGATCAAATCACGCCGGAGGGCGGGAGAAACGCTGCGAACCAGATCTCCGTTGTAGACGACAGGACAGCCCTTGTACTCGGCCGCCTCTTCATCAGATAGTTTAATATGGCACAGCACCCAGCACTGCGCGAGATTCAGCGCAGAGATCTCATATTGAAGGAATCGAACCTCACTTTGGACAGACATTGGCCCTTCAAATCGATGAGACTGGGAGTCCACGCCCCTGTCGCGAGGACGACATGGTCAGCGTAGTGTTTCGTTCCATCCTCAGCAAGGGCGCCTATGATGGTGACGCCATCCTCGGAAACTATAGGCTCCTTAAAGGTTCCAGCACTAGAACTGCGTCAGCCGCAGTATACTCGTGCGCATGCGAAGGTTGACTGACGGCCCGGATGTAAACGTGACGCCTCGCTCATGAAGCTCGCGTCCGACAGAGTTGAGGGCGTCGCGCGCTGCAACCCATCCGCCTTCTGGGTTCCAGATGCCTTTCCAGCCCTGATGTCATGGTATCAGGGCACGTATCACGTAGAAACAATCAATGAAGTATATTACCTCAATATGAGCATCCTTCAGCTGCGGGACGTGGCGAACGAAGTCATCCTTGTTATCCAGCCATTCGACTCCAGGCCATTTCTCTTCAACGAGACGGTCGTAGGTGCGCTTAACACCCTTTGTGACGTCATTATCCAAGCCGCAAGAGGCATCCACCTGCGACGATCTTTCACCACCGAGCGAGCAAACTTAGAGGCAGCAGAGACACTGACGGTTCCAGTATTATGATAGTAAGGCTTGAATGTCTCGTCGTTCGCCCAGGCATGGATCGCTTGCTTGGACAGCTCCGCGTGGAAGGGATTCGAGTACTGGCCACTGGACGCGATCTTGTTCAAATCGTACCCCGCCGAGCGCTGAGACGGTATTGGCCACACGTCTATGACATGGATGTCAGTGTACCCTCTACGCGCTAGGTGAAGCGCCGTCGACGACCCCTAAACACGAACTGAGCCTTCGGTGCAAGATCGGAGATGAGACTCGAGCCAATCACCATCACACCACCGCCACCCACGATCAGAATCCTGGCTTCGTCTCAGTCCGATGGCGTTCAAAGGCGCGGGAATTTTGACTGACTTGGATTCTTTGCTAATCGCGGCCATCGTTGATTGCGGGCTGGGAGAGCATTCCGAAGAGAGGCAAAAGTGAATCTTATAAATTGCCTTATCTAGCGATAACGATCACGTGGCGGTATCCTCTGCCGCATGGAATGGGGAAAGCGGCATAAATGCCGGCGCATAAAATTATAAGTAGGGCGCCGAGGAGGGCTGCAACGAGCAAGGGGTGGTCTCGTAGCAGTGCGGATACGAGAATTTGCAGCGAAGTGGACAAATGGAGGCCGCCGGGACATCCTCAATATGATCTTAACGGCACGATGCACGCATGCTGGTCCAGGCAAGAGAAAAAGGAACGAGGCGCACGACATGAGGTGAGAAAAGGGTCGACGGCGAGAGTTGAGAACGATGTTCAACACGCTGAGTGCGAGGGTCTGCTGACCAGGTACGTCGTCTTCCCGTCTGAAATGCATCCAGTCGAAGATCGAATGTGACCGAAAGCGACTCAACCGTGGAGCACCGGGATACAGAGCAGGGTGATGAATGTTCTGCGGCATCTAATTGCGACCTTAACAGCCTCGCGAGAGCCCAGAATCGACAGCCGCGGAGGTCGGGCATCACTTGCAGACGTTCGTTCAGGTTGAGAGATTCGACTAATGGCAGCATTTTGTGTGCTTTGTGAGCGCGTCATAGCGTGGATTCCAGATAGAATGGTTGACCATCAGTAAGGAAGAAAGGTCGGTGAAAGATGGGAAGGCGGCGCGAACGGAGAAGTATCGGTGTGAGCGGAGGAAGGAAGTGAGGTGACGTGCGTGACTTGACCGAAACCATCACCATTCCTCTTCGCTCCCCCTTGGTTGCGATCCCTCTGGCCTCTGCAACCACGCCGCCGCGATTACACCCCCTTGAGGGCATCCGATGACCCTCTTCTTACCTCTGGACCCGTCAGAGGATCTACCAAGCAAATCGACATTTTTGTCCGCTGCCCACGACCGGGAGGCCCAGCTGAACGGAGTTCTGAAAGCCATCAGAAAGGCCAAACGGATCGCCGTCGTTTCTGGTACGCCTGGGTAAATCCCTTCGCGGTTGTTGCGTGTCCTCAGCATGTTCCAGGCGCGGGCATATCTGTACAGGCGGGCATACCCGACTTTCGATCGAGCGAAGGGCTCTTCCAGACGTTAAAGCGGGACAACCCGAAGGAGTTGATCTCGTCAGGCAAGGACCTGTTCGATGCCTCGGTATTCAACGTGAGTATCCTCCAGAACCCTCTCGTAAAATTATCCTACTTCCGGCACGCTATATGCTAGCAAAAACGCTGACCCTCGCTTCAGTCAGAGAACACCACCGCAATGTTCTGTCAAATGATAGCCAGACTATCTGAACTCTCTCAAGAGGCTGAGCCCACTCCTTTCCACCAATTGCTACGCTCCCTCGACCGCCGTTCGCAACTCCTCCGTGTCTATACCCAGAACATCGATGCCCTTGAGTCCAAGTGCGGCCTGTCCTTCGGAGTCCCGGACTCCAGCCGTCGCTCGAGGCATAAAGCCAAGGCGAAGTCACCTCCCGACGATTCTGCGCTAGCTGGGGAAGACTATGACCGCCTCCCGTCCCCTCCCATTGAAATACCGCGCTGCATCCCCCTTCACGGCACCCTCCAGACCATGTACTGCAAGACCTGCACGCACAGCTTTCCTCTCCAGGAGCATCTTCCCGCCTTGATCTCCGGCCAGCTGGCTCTGTGTCCCGAGTGCGAGGCAATGGAACAGACGCGGCAGTTGGTTGGCAAGCGCGCAAGGGGGGTGGGGATCCTGCGGCCCGGCGTGGTACTCTACAACGAGGACCACAAAGACAGCGAGCGGGTCGGCGAGGTAGTCGCGAGGGACCTGATGGGTGGATCCAGGGGGCGGTCCCCGCCGGACCTGCTCTTGGTGGTCGGCACTAGTCTCCGCGTTCCCGGGACGAAGACGATTGTACGCCAGTTTTCGAAGGCCGTTAGGTCTAGAGACGCAGCCGCGTCCTCTGGGACCGAAGGCTCGACATCTCGCCTGCCTACTCCCTCGCCTTCTCCTCGCCGAACACCGGCAGCGGCGGAGGAGGCGCCGATCCGCAGCATCTACCTCAACTTCGACTTCCCCGTTCCGACAAGAGAGTGGGAAGGGGTCTTTGACGTCTGGCTGAAGGGCGATGTGCAGGTGTTCGCGCGAATGCTGCAAGAAGCGATCGCCAAGGAGGAGCAAGCGAAGGCGCTTGCGGTGGAGAAGCGCAAGCAGAAGCAAGAACAGGCGGCGGCGGCGGCGGCGGCGCACGCATCTGCAAATGCCCTTCATTCGGTGCCCACCAAGAAGAGGAAGGTATCGTCGCAGGACCCAGCTCACCGGACGACGAAGAAGCGGAGGATGAGCAACGGCACACTGCTCACGCCACCCTCCACTCCGCCTGGCCGACTAACCGTCAAACTCAAACCCCCGAGTTCCTCAGCCCTTACACCATCAGAGCGTTATCCTTCTCTGGTGGAACCTGACGATCGACATCGCACCGGTATCGTGATATGCATCCCGCCGCGGCCTATCAGACCTTCAAGTCGTCCATCTTCCGCCCATTCGCGTAGGAGGAAATGCGAAGTTTGGATGTCGAAGACCCCTACGTGCTACAAGACCTATCGGCATGGCGGGCCTAATACTGCACGTGCGCTAGTATATCGCCCCAAGGATGCATGCACGGACGCCCTGTCTGACATGTCCGACCTAACGGACATATCCGATCCGGAGAGCGACCTTCTTCCTGATTGCGCTCCTCGAACTAGACATTTCGACCCGTCTCCAGGACGAACGGACGTTTCATATGCAGGCTTGGACGCCGAGCAGCGACCTCTTGTTTCTCCCGGGTAGTTCCCTCCGACACGGACCGTATCATGCGCCTTGTTCGGTATCTATCGGACCTTTCATCGCTTTAGAGGTCATATTGCGCGATTAAATATTATGCGTCATTTCAGACTGATGGTTCGAAAACTTGGCCGCCCATGCAATCTATCATCTCGTTCTTCGCGCAGTCGTGGACGCCGAAGTAACAGCAACAACCACCCCAGGATCTACGACGCAGCCACCCCCAGCGATGACCGCATGACATCCTCAAGGTCGTTCTATCGTACGTTTACGATTTGATGCGGTGGCAGACCCTCACAAGCGATCCCAACTACCCGGAAATCTTTGAGCACGTTTCTCTAGCAGCCATACTTATTGTTTGCGAGGACTGGTCCTTCTTAGGAGTCTCGCTGCAGTATAGAGCACCGTAACTGAAGTCGCCCGACCGTGACGCGGCCAGCTGAGACGGGTTTTGCAAACGGTTCTCCAAATGTCTGATCTAACAAACATGGCTGTCGTGCTCTACCTCGACGAGGATATACGTGTTGCGATCGACTTCATCGTGAATCCGTCACCCATGCATCGGATGACGACAAGGTAGATTTCCGCTGTTGTCCATGAGACGCGGACATGCATCGAGTTAACAAGCGCTTCATCCGGTATGCATGATCATTGAACAAGGGCGTAAGCTAAGAGTGTCGCATAACGGTACAGCCTTGCACACACCCCTTTGCCCTAGGCCTCCCTGGCTCTACGTTCTGCTCACCACCAATCCCAGCACGTGGCGGCGTTATCGAGACTTGAAGGGAGAAGAGAGATCGACAAACCGTGTGGCCATACTGTTCCTGCCATTCGACTCGGAAGTTTGCAGCTGCCGATCAGCACAGGTCGCGAATGCGGTCCATCCTTCCATCCTTCAGGTTGCCATCAAAGCGGCGGCGCAAAAGTTGTCCACTGGTACAAAGCAGCCATCCGTACAAATTACCGCACGATATTCTCAGGATCATCCTATCGCACGTCTGCGACCTCCCGCCTTGGCATTCCTCCATAGTTGACCGCAAAGCTTTTTTTTACCCCGAAATTCCGCAACGTAAATTTCTCCCCCTACTCATCGTCTGCAAAGAGTGGTATTTCTCGGGTATCTCACTCCTCTATGCATCGCCCTACCTACCCTCAGCCATCGCGCTGGGGCATTTGTCACGAACAGTTTCTCTGCGACCCGATTTGGCCGATCTAGTGCATACTATAATGCTATGGCCTGGATATAGAACAGTCTACAAACTTGAGACTAAGCCTCGCTCCTTTGGTGCGCGGGCTCTCGACGTACTGCGCAGTGAGGTCGGCCGTCAACAACGGGCAGAGCAAAGAATGACGAACGATTTCCACTCGATCATCGGGGCTTGTAGGAACATAACCTCGATCAGCCTGCCCCCACTCTTCAATATATTCCCTCTGGCCTCAAACCGCCATCTTCCTTGCAATACTGTTCATCTCCGTCGATTGTCACTTTGTGGTGAAGGCCCCCAGGATCGCGCTGGACCACTCACATTTGCAGTGCGTGGCCGTTGTCTATCCTCTACTTCTACTACCGTCATCGAGCTGGATCTGCGAGACCTTGAGGAGCTCAACCTCTCCGATCCCGATGTCATCACCGATTGGGATCTACCACCGCTACCTCCCCTTCATACATTGCGGATGATGTATACTTCCCTACCCTCGCCTGGTGGGATGAGACCAATGCCACTTTTCTCCGAGCAGCATAACCTCAAGGTTATCGAGCTCCGCCTTTTGGACATGCCGACTGACATGCCGGACCTCTCCCCCTGCATCCAATGCATCCAGTCCAACGCAGGCACCTTGGTGGAACTTACCCTGCTAGGTCCGGCGGAACTTTACATCGCAGGACACCTTGATTATCGGAAGTTCTCCGCACTGCAGCGCCTCAACATCGGCTACATTGAAGGCGAGGAATTCCCATTTGAACCCGCATCCCTTCCCGACTCCTTGAAGGTCCTTACCGTGCATTGGTCGGATGAACACTCGCCATACACCGGCAAATTGGGCTACTTCTTCCGTAGCTCACGTCTGATGTTGGAACATCTCAACGACACAGAAGCATTCCACACGATTATGGCACCGGGAGGCGTGGTTGTAATGGAGACGCTCGGCAAGGATTCGTCCGACCTACATACCTTCTCCGAAGAGTGGAACATCCAACTTTTACTGGAATTGGACTCCGAAGGTGCGTCCCGCGAGTGACCGCAGATGGGCACATGTATGAGGTTTGAAACTAATCATCGATTCTGCAGCACGGGATCCTGTTCATCTGGGTCACATTAAAGGTGTCCCGTTCACGTCTACACTCACAGTTGCATTCTTGCCTTTTGAGTGGGCGATCGTGCGGATCACCCCATCTCGCGTCCGCTATCTGACCATGGTATGACCGTCATATGCAATAAAAACATGAACCCGTGTTGGTTGTAGCACATCACCATGGCGATGTCGTGCGTATTGTTCGGACTTTTTGCTCTATTGAAGCCGTCTATAGTCAATCGTCATCCGAAGGAGTATTTTCTCGTGTTAACTCGAACAGCGTGGAAATAGCTTTAACCTCCTTGGTACAAATACGGCACCTTTCGTTACTGTTGGATTATCACCCCATATGAATGATCGTGAGGTGAAGTAGTTGCAGCACCAAGTCGCGCATACTCCGAAGACGTCCGTACTTGAGTCGTAGGAAATGTCCGATCCTCGAACTGGTGAAGCTCATTGGCCCGTGGCGTATGTTCCACTGTCCAAAAAGCAACATAGTCGGCCGAGCCCACTGCGTTACGCGTGTGTACGTCGACAGGCTCCTGCCCATCCACTCTCCAGCTATTTGCGCTCCAAAACAGAGAGCGCCCGCGAGGCTGAATCCGACTTCCGTGGTGAAGGACGCCAAATTCGGAAATCCAGGACATTTTAGGATTTAAAAGAGGGGAGTGGCAGTGGAGAGTTGATGCGACGTATATCCGAATAGTGGGGGAGCGCAGGAGCCTGGCTCGTCGACGTGAAGCGTATCTGCCCCAGTATTTGAGCTCAAGGCTAGTTCGCTGAATATCAACCCGCCTGGCTATTATCTTGTGTTGTGCGCCTTGACGAATGTCATTTGTTTTTCCATCCTTGGAGCTATTCACGAAGCTACGGTGTCTTGTCGCTTCAGAACCTCAACTCTACCCAGTCTCTCCGAGTCATCCGCAAAACCTACCACACGAGCTACTCGAAGCCATCCTATCGCAAGTCTACGATTTGAGACATTGGAGAACGTCAACCGGGTATGAAGGTCACCCCGTGGATCCTCATGGCCAGTCCGCTTTTCTGTCGCTCCTTCGCGTCTGCAAAGACTGGTACTTTGCCGGTGTTGCCATACTGTACGCGGAGTCGTTCATACCCTCGTCAAAAGCACTCGCTCGCTTTGCCCGCACCGTCACCCTTCGATCCGATCTGGCCAACCTGGTGCGCACTGTAGTGCTGAAGCTGGACGAGAAGATGGATCCTGCTAATCGTGCCCCTGCCCGCGGTCTCGTTGATTATCTCCAGCTGGGAGAAAGTGATCAAGAGTTATTACGAAGGGATAGCCAGCAGTGGGTCACCGAGACCTTCTACGAAATCATCTCGGCTTGTCCTAACATACACGCGCTGCTGTTGCCACCTCTGCGTGACTTCAATCGGGCCGCCACAGATCCTCTCATACAACGTAGAGTTGTTCGACTTCGCCGCCTTGCCCTTCTGGGGGCATGGGGGCGTAGCTCTGATCCTGTCGCATTCGGGGCAGCAGGATCTTGCTTGTCCTCTCCCTCTTGCATAGAGTCCATTTCCCCTCCCACGATCGTAGACCTGGACTTACAATGCCTGGAAGAGCTGAATCTCGGAGGACTCCATGCTATATTGATGTGGTCTCTTCCCCCGTTACCATCGGTCCGGACCCTGCATATTACCCATGCATGCGTCACAACTCTAGCAGAACCGTGGTCGGCGGTGCCTCTGTTTGGTAGGCTTCACAACCTCGAAGTGATCTACCTTCGCGAGAACTTGGGAGTCAACCTCGGTGACGGCCTCTTCCCCTCCATCAACTGTATCCAGTCGAACGCGGCTACTATGACGGAGCTCAGTCTCGTCGGCGCGACCGAGCTCGTCATCGCACGCCGCCTGGATCTCAAGGCTTTCACGTCCCTCAGATGCCTCACCCTAGGTTATATCACGCCCGCGGAGTCCCCGTCCGATTTCGTCTCCATCCCTGATTCATTGCAGACCTTGATCGTGCGCTGGTCCAACCGACGGCCCAAGCCGACGTACAGCAAGACCGGCTACTTCTTCCGCAGCATTGAGGCGATGTGTAACCACCTTCGCAACAGCGAGGAAATGAGCATCAGCAAACGTCAGGAGGCGCTCCTGTTTGTGGAAATGTTTGACTTGTCTTCACTCGAAGCTATCCTGCTCTGCCAAGAGCGCGATGCCCGTCTCGTATACGTAGAGCTAGACCAAGGTGCGTCTCCGGGTGGTTCTGGATGAAGATACGAACACCATCTTGACCTACTTGTCAGAGCGTGGCCCCGTTCTTCTGGAATCCTTCAAGGATGATCAACCTCTTCATTCGACGCTCAGCCTCGCGTTCCTACCTTTCAAGTGGGCAATCGTACTCGTTTCATGATGCGCGAGTCGGTTTCTGTCTTCCCTACAAGAAGATATCCCTCGTCGTCTTCAATCCCCGACCTAACGTTGGCATGATGCGGAAATATTGTAAACATGGCGCTGAGGGTCGTGATAGTGTTGCGGCGATATATATATATATAGATATACATGTTGTCTTGTTTGGTGTTTACTCTCTGATTGATTCCGTGATTGAGTCGCCGTATGGGACTTTGCTCGCGATGGAAGGGTTCTCTGCTGAATTGAATGCATGCGATGATATAATGCGGCGCTGTCAGGGGCAAGGTAAGCGGTCCATGACCCGCGCAAGTCCTTGCCACACCTAAGTATTCTACGTCTTTATTAGAGCCGTGACCGTCGCGCTCTTATGGGTTTGAGACGATACCAAGATCACGACCCTGTACACGCCCTATTGGCAAGAAAACGATGGGGTTGTTTCCATGATCGCGGATGCAAAATGCTGTCCGTGTTCTTCCCGGTTAACTCGCAGGCCTTGCGCAAAGGTGCGACCTTCCATCCGGCGTCTCATCTGTAGGTTTCTGTCCTCCGGACTTCGTCGGTGCGGAGTACACTGTGTTGGCCGTATAGAGCGTGGCTGAGCTCGCTGGAAGACGTTGCGTCTGGTGCGTTCGGGGTGACTGCATACCCACATGCCGTACTGAGCCCTACTTCCAGTGCTCATAATCCCATGCAATGCATTCCTTGCTTTCGCACCTCAAGCTACCCTTCAAGCGGCGCCAAAAAGCTACCTCGGTCTTGATCCATAGTCGGCCACATGAGCTTCCACTCGAGTTAATCGAGGAGATCCTGCATCATGTCTACACGGACTTGACGCGTTACGACGGCCGTCCCTCTGTGTTTCGGACCGAATTTCGCTCACTGGTTCTCGTCTCTCAAGCATGGTATTCTGCAGGCATTGCTTTGCTTTACGCCGAACCATACCTGCCATCCTTCCACTCCTTGAGTTCGTTCTCGCGCACTGTATCTCGTCAACCTGCTCTGGCGAGCCATGTGCGCACCTTGGCGCTGACATTAGAGGGGGAGGATGGCCCTTTCACTTCTATTCACAGACTAGCTCTACGCGTCGCGGGTAAAGAGGAGACGAAGCAAACGCGGGTAGACAGGAGGATGATGAAGCAGTTCCGGGCCATAGTCACGGCTTGCACTAAGATTGACGCAATTTATTTGCCCCCACTCCGCGATCCGGTCACCTTCAAATTGCCATCCTCCTACGCCCCTTCCGTTCCCCTCCGCCTGCGTCGTTTGACACTGTACGGATGGAGAAACAACGACCCCCTTCCCTTCACTGTTAACGGCACCTACCTATCCTCGGTCAACAAGCCCACTGTCAGTTTGGACCTTGAAGACCTCGAGGAATTCAACATAACGCGTTTCCTGTCCTTGGTTCATTACAACCTTCCGCCACTTCGCTCTCTACGAACTCTTCGCGTCATCGATTCATGGATTACCAGCTTCACACCTCTCATCACGTCGCCGCGTGGACGCTACCTTCCCTCACTCCGGATAATCGAACTTCGCGGGAATTATATTGAAGGTCACTCGATTCCTATGGGCCAGTGCATGGATACCCTGCAATTCCATGCGCCTACTCTGCAGAAACTCGTTCTTGTGGGTCCCGTCGAGATGCGCATGGCACGTAGCCTCAACTTAGCGAAGTTTACCGCATTGGAACGTCTTACCATCGGCTATGTACGGGATGGAGAGCTACCGCTGGAGGACGTAGCCATACCCCCCGCACTGCAGATTCTGGTCGTGCACTGGTGGGACGACGACCACTCGCGCAAACTGACCAAAGTCGAGTTTTCCTTCAGCAGCGAGGCGGTGATGGAAGATTTCCTGAGGCACGAAGCGAGCGCGGAGGTTGCCAAATTGCCAAAGGATGGTCGGTTGACAGTGTCCATACTGGGTCCGGCGCAACCAAGCTTGGTAGGCCTGTGCAATGACCGGGGCATCCAGCTGTTCGTATCTCCAAGGGTCAGCGGAGGTATGTCTCGCTATGCTCTTGATGATAGGCCGACGTCTGATCTGGAAAACAGAACCTACAACCGGAAACATCGGCCTTCAAAGCCACGTCCTCCGTTGGACTTCCGCTCACATCTCTATTGTATGACTACTGCACATACTCTCGTCGATTTATGAGCTTGCAATATACCCTTCTCCTTCGTCTGTCGACAAAGCGCGATCGAGCGAACTCAGAGGAGTCCTTATCCTGCTCATCCTGCGAGAGAGCAGCGTAACGACCTTACGATCCAGCAGCCGAGCATGTTTTGGAGAGGAATGACATTGTAAGCATGTCTATTTGATCCACGCCATTAGCATACAGGTAGTTATTTCGATGGTACTTGGATGATGGTAGCCAGATATCATCGCTCTTCCTTCTTAGGCGCGTGCTCGTACTGAGAGAACCCAAGCGATTCTTGCACGACGTCGTCTGCGGCGTCTGGTTCAAGCTGGCCGTGCGCGTTGCGTCTCGCGCTACAAGCAAGAATGGCCATAAGACGACGAGAACGCCCGAGAAAATACGTACACACCGGAAGAAGGTATATGACAACACCACATCGTCAACATTCCTGCAAGCGGGATCGTCCAGGACATCCTTGTCAATGAAGAAGAGCAGCGGCATATCGACCTCTTCTCCAGCCAGCAGCTTCTGCTCCTCGAAGCAGAAGCATTCCACCTTGGCGAAATAGGGGGCGATCTGATTTGACGTTAATGGAAGCTCCATGGTAGATATCGTAGTGTTCTATACGCACCCGGTCAGGGGTGACGTTGTACGTCGCAATCCCGATGATATCCTGGTCAGACTTGTTCTTCGCGGTGTAGAACGCCAGGCATGTTTCTCCTGGGAGTACGCTGACGTACTTTTGTTGAGGCTTAAAAGACCACGGCAGCTGCTCCGACGCGTCGGCGTTGAATCGAACTCGGATCCTTTTCGCGTCCTCGACCGGCACCAACCGGGACGCTTCGAACTTGCCCTCGCCCACTGAGCCTGTTTGTGGCGTCCCGGCGAAGCCTGTTGCAGCGCAGAATGCGCGATATAGCGGTACAGCGGCGTAGGTGACTCCAACCGCAACGACGATCTGCACGCAGAGTTGAGCGCGTCGGAGAAAGCAGGATGCAGCAGAGAGCATACCACGGCTGTCGAGTACATGAGCAGATTTCTATTGCGCTGCCTGAACACCTCCTGCCTCCTGGCTTGCAAAGGATCCGCATTCATGCGTGTAGTCCCGGCGGAGAACCCTCTCCTGAACGGCGACGGGGTAGGCCATTCTCTCTTGGTTCGACAGCGTTGGAAAGTCAAACTCAGAGTCTGTCTCTGACAGGCCTGTGGTGCGGTTCAATGCATGCCGAAGTAGGATAACGAGGCTGAGTCTGACCTGGACGCGTCCATGCGTGAAGAATGAGCGGAATAACGAAGAGGACATCGGCGCTAACCGACTGAATCCGTGCACGACCTCTTTCTCCTGACCACATCAACCTGCCGCCCACCATGCCCGGAAATGAACCAAGCACCTCCAAAGCAACTACCGACGACATAGAGAAACTCCTCAGCCGCGAAGCCTCCGCGTTTCAGCGCGAGATCGAAGTAGAACGCATCCTCGCCGCGTTCAAGCTCAACCCGTACGACATTCTCGACCTTCAGCTGTCTGCGACTCCGGAGGACATCAAGCGCAAATACAGGCAACTTTCTCTCTGTGAGCTGGCGTTGTGCCCTTCGCCTTCGAGTCATGGCGCCGCTGGACCGGCCCCGTACCCGCGGTGCTGTCTTGTCTGCGCATCCATTGGGAGATAATTGATGTGAACCGTACGTTGCCTCGTAAACAGTCATCCATCCTGACAAGACCCCCCATGCTCGTGCCCCAGAAGCGTTCGATATCCTCAAGAAGGTTCGTAACCCTATGATTGTTGGGCGCTGGTCGCCGGGGCACTTCCTTGCGTGGCAGCCTCGCGTCTTGCGTATATGCGCGCTCATGACTATATTCTTTGCAGGCCGAGTCGGAGCTCAGCGAACCGAAGAAGCGTGAAGAGCTGGATGCCGTGATCAGCCAAGCGCGCTCAGTTCTGCTCAAGTCTCATGGGATACCCACTACTGTCGCGGACGACGACCATAGGATTTTAGCACTGAAACCACCCTTCAAGGAGCAACTGCGGGCAAAATCGAAGGAGCTCCTCATCGAGGAAGAGTTGCGACGCAGAAAGTCAGTTCATCTTCCGGATATCTCACACGCCATGGTTTCATATCTTGCAATGGCACAGGGCTGTCAAGATGAATCTCGCTAACGAGGGTCTGGAAGCGCGCAAGAAAGAGGAGGAGATCAATGCGAAGAAGCGTAAGGCTGAAGAGGATGCGGCATGGGAAGGTAAGTTCTCGTCCTCGTATACATCCGGCCTTTTGATGCTCATGCCGTACGACAGCGACGCGAGAAGAGCGAGTTGGTAGCTGGAGGAACTTCGAGAAAGCGAAGACAAAGAAAAAGAAGACCAAAGGACCAGCTCTTCTTGGCTAACTGTCTCATTTCTTGAAGCTGTCGACGCGTTACACTCGCAGGCGTGTGGCTCCATTGCGCTGTAGCAAGCTACTGGCTTCAAGGATGGCAGGCCGTAGACGATTGCTGCTCGTAGCTTATAGAACAGGGAAGAGTACAGCGGTGGGTCAACTATATTTCTTATATACTATCTGATACACGTGCGCCGAATTGGAACCGCTATCTGTACTGCTTGATCCCGATGTTACCAGTGTCCCCAAAGAGCGTATATACATGCTACAAAAGATATCGTTAGAGTTCCATCGTAACGGCACTCTGCCATGAACTCCAGGCCTCCGGACCCAGCTCCGTCGCGAGTTTACCCAAGCGTATCTTTGGACGTAGGTGCCGCGGAACCTTAAGTATAGGGTAGTTGAAGATAAGGCTTATTCAAGGTCATAAGGAATACATCGTCACTGGATGCCACCACAATGTGGCTAGTCCTCATGCCGGCAGCTTGTAGCTGCCAGAAATCACGCTCTGCCCTGACGTCCAAGCCTTGGAGCCCCATTCGCAGGCAAGCTTGCCCGCTAGCGTCTCCTTGGCCTCGGTCGATATGAACGCCTTGTTCGTGCAGATGATCATGTTTTTCTTGCAACGCGATAGCATAACGTTTGTCCGTCTGCCAGCCATCCCTCAATATTGAGCGGTAGTTCTCGCTGCTTGAAGAGACCAATCACTGACCTCTTGTTTGACAAGAATCCAACTTTCTTCGTCCGAACGAGCGAAATGACGATCGTATCTTCCTCGTTACCCTGGAAGGAATCGACGTTGAACACTTTGTCTTCCCATGGTAAGTTGTGGTTCTTGAGGCCGTCCTCAAGCTTGGATCTCTGTGCATCGTAAGGGGTGATGACGCGGAAAGCGTTACCACGCTTGGCGAGCATGGTAACCAGGTGCACTACTACCTGAACTTCGCGAGCGTTCTTCGGAGATTGTCAATGTTAAGCGCGATGGAAGTCGAAAGAAGTCACAGACCCAGAAGCTGTGTCCCATACTTTCTTCGATACCGTGTGAGACATCTACAAACGTGCAAGAGGATCGTAAGGTGCTCGCGTGCACGCTTTTCAACTTGCCGTCGTAAACATGGCGAGATATGAAGTCACCGATACAGACCGGCATACGATCTGCGAAATGTGAGTGTGGTCGAGAAATTTGGAGATGACGCGGAGACGGACACTGGGTATTAAGGAACACAGCGTGTCTTCTTACGTGAGGGACCTCAAAAATGCTTTGGAGAACTGTGACGTTTTCTGCTCCGTAGGGTGGAACTACCATGGGGCGCGTGAACATAAACTCAACAACAACTGATACTGAAAAGGAAGCATACGTTGCTTGTCGTCGCCGATGAAAACAACCTTCCTCAGCGTCTCGGAATACTTGTGCATAAACGGTATATAGTCGCCAAGCTCGATTTGACTAGCTTCATCGACCACTACCTGATCAACAAAGCGTCGATTAGCGAAACACAAAGTACGATAACCAAGAAAACCCGCCGTGGTGACAGGAACGAGTCTGATAAGGCCAGCTTGCTGAAGGCCAGGGTTTGTTAACATGCTCAACGTGCATAGAATGACACGCGAGCCGAGAATAAGGCGTTCGACGCCAACGATTCCGTCGTTCAGCGTGTCAGCGCGTATGACGTTCCGAGTCAGCGTCTCGTAGAGATGTTCGTGCCTAATCATCAATGAGCAAAACCCGGGAAGAGGATTTGTGTCTTTCCGTACCAGTCGAAATGAAAATCCTTCGACACAATCAGCTTGAAGTCCAGAAAGCCGCAATCGCCCAACTTCTCAGCGATGTTCTTGACCGCAACGTTGGACTGGGCGACCAGCCAGATCGACTTCGAGTCGGACTGCGAGGCCATCATACTCATGACAGTCGCTGCAATGACTGTCGTCTTCCCGCTCCCCGGAGGGCCCTGGATCATAGTGATAGGTTCTGACTCATCGAGTGCCCGGTCCACGGCCCGCCGCTGCGACTGATTCAAAGGTCTCGATGTGAAGGAGATCGGCGTCCTATCCCCGGCCGTCCTATTCCCGGCTGGCGTTGCTAAAATTCGGTATGTAGAAGAGCGCCATATGGTTGAGACAAACGGCAATTGAAAGAGGGTCGCGGTGCCTTGAAGACTGTGTACGGTTATCCATGCCCGTTGCTCTTCTGCGGACGTAGGATTTTCCTTGCCTATAGTATAGACCGCTTTGATGTTCGTGACCTTCGTAGTGCCCCGGAGGTCGACGAGTGCGGCTCTTCCGTTCACTTTGGTCGCCTTTCCAGACACTTTTGATCGCGTCCCTCCAGCCTCGGTCTCTATGCGAATGGACTACTGAAGGTTAGACTGGGCCCAACAAGAGATTGAGTTCAACCCACCTGCGAAGTCGACATCCGGATCTTCGTGCTGTAGCGCTCACAGCGCAGGTTGAGTTTGCCATCCTTGTCGGACACGAACGCTTTCGCCACGTCGTTCTTGACGACCGTCGGCTTCAGGGCATGGAGCATGTCAGAATCGCGTCGCAGCTTGCAGAGTATGCGGAGATCCTAAGCGATATCAGTTAACCGCTGAGAGGATATCACCTTTCACGATACTCACCTGAGTATTCATGGTCAATGTATCTATAACGCGTGCAGTAGGTACCAAATCTACTAGTTCGGATCGCGTGGCGGCCTGTAGCGAGGCCCATGCTCTCATAACTACGTCCATGGGGGACATTTTGGAGGAGCTACCATTCGAGAAGAGTCTCCTGACGATATCGCTGTTCACGACTTCCTGGCCGCCGAGCACGGTCACGATAGCTCCCCAGCAGCCGCGGTGTGACTTTTCTTCGATTTGTAGCGTCGGCATCGATTCTAGATCTACCCCGCCAGTCATGCGGATATGATGGTCCATGAAAAGAGAAGTTGCGATGCGATCCATGGCAATCCCAACCTTGCGCCAATCTGGCCGACACAGTGCAGCCTGTAGAGCGCCGGAGCGGCTGGTCGGTGTTTTCCCTTTCTTGCCTTTTTGACGGCCGCCTGAGCCCATCTTGACGACAAGTACGTGATCATGGGTCGCTAAGGCCAGAGTCACGAGCCGTTGATGAGTCCCGTATTCGCCAGCCATTCCGACGAAATGTGAGGAATGGATGGGGAAGACGGAGCCTAATGTGTCCACGTTGAACGATGTATTCTCGATGATTGTAACTCGTATCTGCGGAAACGAGCCCTTGTAAATGGACTGGCTAAGATAAACGGGATTGGGGTTCATGAGGGCGACAGGCAGGAGGGCAAAGATGGACGGGCGGCACTTACCCCGTCTATCTAAATAGGCGACGCGCGATTGCGTCTTTTCCAGCATTGCTCGGCAGAGGAGAAGCGATACGGTCAAGCTATAGAATAGAAGTACCCACAGCACAATGCCGCTCGCTCAAGCAGGGAAAACACGACAGCCTTCTAGAGCAATGGATAGCGCCGCTATCCATAGCAAGAACCTTCATGCACACGTTGTCCGTGTGGCGTGGGCCATAGGGTACTTGAGGTGCCCTTCATGTAGCGTAGGGAGGTCTATAGCCGACGCAACGAGTACCCTTCCCGCGCTCATCCGCCTATGATCGTCGCTAACAACACGTGCGGCGTACAAGCGGACCTTTGAACTCGGAAGATTTCCCATATATGAGATGATCGGAGGGACATGTGTCGAGGAGCCGAGGCTAGATGAGTTGACCGTCGAACAACGAGGTGAGGCACGAGCATCCCCACGCCACCATCTCGAAGTTGACAATCACCCCTCCGCCTCGACCTTGCTGCGCTATGCTAGTGATACAGTTCTTATACAGTCGATACTGGTACAGTCGATACTGGTACATATCATTCAATGAGTAGTGTCAAATGCGGATAATCGTTCGTGAAACAATGCGTGCCACGGAGTGCGTCCATGAGGTATGGTCATGTCCGTTGGATCGCCACGCTGCCGTCGTCCGTCTCAGTAGGCTAGTGAGCACCCGAGATGATATTCTGCCACGACCGCCAAGCCTCAGGACCCCACTCGTCCGCAAGCTTGCCCACGAGGGTGTTCTTCGCCTTGGTCGAGAGGAAGGCCTTGTTCGTGCAAATCAGCATGCTGTTCCTACAACGTGACAGCATCACATTCGTCCTCCTGTGACATCGACGACATGAGTAATTGTGCTCCTGCGTTGATGAAAAACCAAATACCAACCTCATGTTGGACAAAAACCCGACTTTATCCGTCCGAACGAGCGAGATGAGGATAACCTCCTCCTCGTTGCCTTGGAAGGAGTCGACGTTGAAGACTTTGTCCTCCCAGGGCAAGTTGTTGCTCTTGATCGCACTCTCTAGTTTGGTCCGCTGACCGTCATACGGGGTGATGACGCGGAAGGCGGCATTAAGCCTAGCGAGTCGGCGAACCAGGTGTACGACGATCTGGACTTCACGAGGGTTCTACGACATCGTTAGGTCGCGAACCGCAGGCGGACACCGAAGAGGTACCACGCACCCAAAAACTGTTTCCCATCTTCTCCTCGGAACCGTGCGCGACATCGATGAACATGCACGACGTCCGCGCAGTGATGCCGTGAACACTTTTGAGCTTGCCCTTGTAGACATGCCGAGATATGAATGCGCCAATTGGTACAGGCATGCGGTCTGAAGAAACACACGATCAGAACATGCATGAAGGTGAATCGGGTATACGAACATTGTGTATCGAGGAAAACGGCATGCTGTCGTATATGCGGAACCTCGAATATACTCTTCAGGCCATCGACCTGCTCCGCTCCGTAAGGTGGCACTAATAGATATACGTGAGTGTACGTCTTTGGGGTAGGTCCCAAGGCTTACGTTGCTCGTCGTCCCCGATGAAGACGATCTTGGTCAAATTCGACGCATACCTCTGCATGAGAGGTACATAATCGCCGATTTCGATTTGACTAGCTTCGTCGACGATGACCTGGTCGATTCAACATCAGCGCCCATGTTCTGATACAGAAGGAAGTCTCAACATACCGTAGAAACCGGGACCAACCGGGTGAGGCCCACCTTCTGGAGTCGAGGATGGGTGATCATACTGAGAGTGCAGAGGATGACACGAGAATCCAAGATCTGACGCTCGACGCCAACTATCCCGTCTGCGAGCGCATCTGCGCGGATCACGTTCCTCTCTATCTTCTCATAAAGGTGCTCGTGCCTGCACACCGAACGTAAGGGATCTTACAGGTAGAAAGGCGCAAATCAGCTCACCAGTCGAAATGGAAATCCTTCGACACGATCAACTTGAAGTCCTCAAAGCCGCAGTCTGCGAGCTTCTCCGCGATGTTCTTGACAGCGACGTTCGATTGCGCCACCAGCCAGACAGTCTTCAGGGGATCCTGACAGACGGTGATCGTCGTGACGATGGCGGCGATAACCGTCGTCTTGCCACTGCCCGGCGGACCTTGGATTGTGGTGATCATCTCGGAGGGATCGAGAGCACGCTCGACGGCTCTGATCTGCGCATCGTTCAACTCCCTCTGAGGGAAATAGACTGGACAAGTAACGGAGCTCGCCGGTGCGACTTGGTTATGCGCCGGACGCCAGATGGCAGCGATGAAAGGAAGCTGGAAAAAGGATATGGTGCCTTGCAGCGCCATCCGGACTATTTGCGCTCTTTGCGCTTCCGCGGAGGTAGGGTCTTCCTTGCCTATAGTGTATACGGCCTTGACAGTGGAGACGCTCGCGGCGCCCGAGAGGCCGACCTGCGCAGCTCGTCCGCTCGTCCTGACAGCTCTCCCAGCCACCGATGACTTCTTGCCAGCGACAACTGTCTCCACCACGATTGACTGAGGGGTGTCAGATGGGGTTGCCTGAAGACTCTAAGCAGTTCAAAACATACTTGTGTAGCTGACGTCCTTATCTTCGTGCTGAAGCGCTCGCAACTAAGATGAAGCTTTCCATCCTGGTTCACGAACTCCTTCGCAACATCGTTCTTGACCTTCGTCGGCTTGAGCGCATAGAGGAGGTCGGCATCGCGTCTTAGTTTGCAAAGCACGAGCAAGTCCTGTGGAACGACTATCAACACGGTGGCAGTCGAATCGAATCTATGAAGCCCCACCTGGTCATCGATAACCGATGTATCGATTACCGGGATGTTGACAACCCTCGACGCCTGTTCGGGTCGTCTGCCGGCATACAGAGATGCCCATGCACGCAGAGCCAAGTCCATGTGAGGAGTCTTAGAAGTTCCATCACAGAAAATCCGCTTGACTATGTCCTTGTTCAGGACTTGTTCGCCGCCAAGGACGGACATGATCGACCCCAGAGAGCCCCGAATGTTTTTATTGCCAGACCCCGAGACGGACTCGAGGTCCACCCCGCCGGTTATGCGCAAACGATGGTCCATAAATAGGGACGTCGCGATCCGATCCATGTCGAAGCCAACCTGGCGCCAGTCCTCCCAAGAGAGAACCTCCTGCAACGCCCCGAGGCCGCTGACTGACCTGACCTGCACATTCTTGTCCTTGCCCTTGCCCTTCGCTTTCGCCTTGCCGCCCGCCTCCAAGCTCACGACGAACACATGGGTGGCGCAAGCGATGGCAAGGCTCGTGAGACGGCATTGGGTTCCGTACTCAGCGGCCACACCAACTAGGTTGTCGTGCTGATTCAGGAAGAGAGGGTCGAAGGTGTGATCGCTGAGTTCGGAGAGCTTTAAGACCGAGGTTTGTACGGGTGGAAACTGGCCCTTGTAGATAGATTGAGTGAAACTGGTCGTCGTCAAGCTCATGGTCAGAGCGAAGAACGGAGGGAGGGATATGCGCAAAAACGCGCTTACTCGGAGTCCGGTCCTTTAAGTATGGAAGGCTCGAGTAGTTCTTTCCCAGCACCGTACCGGCGTGGCCAGGTGGATACAATCAAGCTATATAGTATAGCGCCCATAGATAAGAACGCCGCAGGGGAAATGGGACTGCATTTTGAGGCGGTGCGCCGGGATCTCTGAGCAAGCAAGCGTCAGACGCGCTCACGGGTCCACGTTGTATGGCCGCGACGAGGCATCGATCGTACCTTTCGTGCCTTCTGCCATAGTCCGGACAATGCATCAATGGCAAAAGTGCCCATGAATGTCCACTTTCATTATAGCCGGAGTGCAACGTGTGTGCGGGCTCTAGATCATCCGGACACAACGATGCTGGGTGCCGTCCTTCATGAAAGCGCAGACGCGTTTCCTCGTGTCCAAAGAACGACAGAAGAACGAGATGGGCGCCAAAAGCCTGAGCTGTATGTTGGTCGGAGTCACGGAGTTGAGGCTGCGTCGCCGCCGCGCGCAAGCGAGTCCCGCCGCCGGACAACGAGGTCCGACACTCCGCGGAGGTCTGGTCCCGTGACTCGAAATCATCTTCGTCCGTGACGCAGCCTCGCCGAGCGTTGCTCGCATTATCCACTCGACTATACCCATGGCTACCGCAGTTGTCGTTGGACTCGGAGCTATCGCTGCTGGCCTCGTCGGGCGCCAGTTGGTTAAATCTGGTGCGATTGGGGGCAAGAGGGCCGCCGAGGAATGGGTGAAGGGCGGCTTCAAGGCGAAGATGGACCGGAAGGAGGCCATCGCCATCCTCGGGCTGAAGTACGTCAAATGGACTCCGCCAAAGCTATAGCTGCTATAGAGTCTCATGCTTCTCCTCAGAGATAACCCTACGCTCAAGACCAAGCTGAAGGATGCGCACCGACAGATCATGCTGGCAAACCACCCTGATCGAGGCGGCTCGCCCTACCTCGCCAGCAAGATCAACGAAGCTAAGGACTTACTAGAGAAGACGGATGGACGACTACGATGATGAATAGTTATTGCTGTCACTTCGGTGTTTTAGACTCTGTGAGTATATGCGTCTTTACCAGCGCGACTTGAGCTCATGGCAGCGCACAGCACCACTCCACCACTGCACTACATTATGTATCAGTAATCTGATATTCGCATCAGCCTCAATCCGCAGACAATCAGTTGTATTGGCACTGCATGTGTATCAGCCTCTCACCACATCGGATCCTGCATTTCTGCGGCGTGCTGCACTAATAGCGCATCCTCGACATGTTCCAGCGAACCTTGCAAACGGCCTCTCCAGGAACCAGGGCTTCCCAGCAAGGATCACTCCCAAGACCGACTTGCTTGTCAATACCCCTTTCGTGATCGGCCTCCCGACGTCCTACGCTGAAAGCGTCAAAAAGCTAGTAGTACATCACAGGAAGGCTTTGCCCCGCGACGACTGCAGCATATTCTCGTTGATAACTTGCATGTCCAACAGGCTTGCCGTAATTGTATGACAACACGATTATGTACATGAGATGGTATCGTGGCCAGTGGGACAGCCCCTTTGCTCTGCTCGGAAGTGATACACACACAACCTTCTCCACGTTGACTTTGCCCGCTCTCACGTATTCAGATCCGTCCTTGATACCGTATAAATATCTTAGCCACAGTTTCACCGGATTGGTCTTGAGAAGACTTTAGACGAGCTGATGCGCACCGTCTCTGCGCGAGCAAAGCAGAAACATATGGGATGCTGTCGATGCCGCTCACCGGCCCGGTGGTCTTGAGTATCCATCCTGCGAGAGGAACACGATTTTCCAGGTCTTCGCCGGTGGACGTGAAAATCAAGAGATCTGAAGTAGGTTTAACAGACAGCTAGGGCGGTACCTGTGTGTCTATTCATATAGAGGTGTTTCAGAATATCATATCGTTTGGAATAGGGAGGAGGAGACGTAAAAAATACGCGAGGTCGGCGAGCATCTCCATGCGATGGTAGGTCTTGGAGGAGATGGTGATAGGCTGTGAGTAGTCGCCGCCAGGCAGGACGCAGTGGCAGACCTGCTCAATATTGATGACCCTTGATCCTGGTGTCAGTCTCCAAATGGGCCGTGAAGAGAAGGCGGAGGGGTGGTCTCCGATAAAGTTTTCCTGCTCCTTCTTGACATCTTGGCTGGAGTCGGGGGGGTGGGGGGGGGGGTGAGGCATCTGTGTGTTCGAGGGGATGCGTGTTGGCCGAGAAAGAAGTTTGTCAATAGATGACTCAATGAGAAGGTCCATGACGAGGGTTCGAATCCGAGGAAGGCCTGAAGGTTTGAAGAGAAAGATCTTGAGCGAGGATGAATCGGTGTTAACAGATGATCAAGCCTTGTCGTTAGCCAAGTGTGGTCGCCAACAAAGTAGATATCGTGAAGCCAGGGCTGCCGCCGACTTGATAGGCTATTATATCCTGTTGGAAGCGTGGAGCGCTGGTCGTCGGCCTCTGCGGCCCACGGAGGAGCGCGTCGACATTGGCCCTGTGTCGCAGAATAAACCCAGACCGTCGCGTGTGATTGAGACCCCGAGTAACGCGTTCCGTCAGGGACGGAGTGCAGGGCGGCTTGTATCGATAACGATGCGAGTAAGAAAAGATAATGATGCTCGTCGAAGGATCGGACGATGTGTTCGGGAGCAAAGCAGCAGAGGTTGACGGTAGCCGTAGTAGGGTCTGAGCAGTCCAAGCATGTATGTAAGCGTCTGTTATCAAACGTCTCTCGCCGCTTGCGCGTTGTGCTCGTCCCCTTCGCGCATCTCGACCCACGCAGATTGCGCGCACTCACCCCGCCGTCGCATGTCGTCCCGACGAACATCCATCGACTTACCCAGCATCGAAGAGGGACGAGAACCTCGAGCTCGAGCTCGAGGGCAACCTGGGCGGCCGCACGTGAGACGAAAGATCACGGTCGCAAAGCTGGTCGCTGAGCCATTCATCGTAGGTCGTATCACAAGACAACCGTCCATCCTCGAGCCAGCCAAGGGGTGCTCACAACGACTATGCCAAGCCTGCAGTCGATGAACCCCGACCTGAGGCTCACAATATTGCTGGCGACGCAGCGGTCACTCCCGAAGAGCCGCCCTTCGCACGCGACCGAAGGGCGAAGGTAAATCCGATATTTGTAGATAAACCCGCAAGTTTACTAAGAGAAACATGCTGATAGTCCACACGAGACGAACTGGGGACATCCAACGTCAGAGGCTGGGACTACGTGTACAGGCGGCTGCAGATATATGATCAGGAGATGATTAAGGGCTACTCTGAGGATATTGATAATCTCCGATGCGCCTGGACCTCGCGTGCGCACCCGTTCTGCTATTGAGAAGTGGGATCTATCTTTACATGAAACCCCGGTCCAGCACCTGCTTGGGTACTGGATAGCCATCTCCGAGCTGCTCGGGATGCCATGTGTTGGATTTACTCGTATCCCGGCGCTCGACGTACTCGGCTGCAAATGCATCTACGACAATGACCAGGGAATCTTCCGAATCCCTTACGATGAACTTCTGCGTGTGCCTTCGATTCCCTGACATCCTTCAACGACACACAGATCTCACAGATCTTCGAGCTACTCAAGCTCGGTCTCAATATGCTTCCACGCTATTCGAGCAGTGATGTGGAAGATTCACGCGGCATCCGCATCAACTCGCTGATCATGATGTCCTTTATCGCGACACAGAATTATCGACTCCATCCCCCCTGCGTCAATCTTTTGCTCAAACACCTTGCAAACTCCGACGAGTCGTCCCTGACAGCCATCGTTAATCGGAAGATTTCTGCTATAATCCATGCCTTTCGAGATGAAGTGTTTTTTATTCACCCGGATGTGCATGGCATACCTTTCCTGTGACGATGCAAGGCTGAATGGATGTTTGCAGAGTCGAAAGACATGGCCGACATGCTTGAGCTCGCATGTTCATGCTACGACCGTACCACGTTTCGGTCCCGTCAAGCCCATCGTCATCGCTTCTGGACCGCGGTGTCGTGCGTCACCAATGCGATCGCAGACCACTGGGACGTGCGAGAGCGCTCGACGGATTCCTTCCAACGCTGGCGCACAGCTATGAGTGCGTTTGGTGAACGCCTGGTAGACGCACTATCACTCTGGATTGAGCTTGGCGACGGAGCACATATCGCTGAAGGAGATTGGGAGTATCGTCTTGTCACATTTCTGGGATACCATCGGAATACCGCCCCCGATTATTCGAGAAACGTCGCAAAGTTCATATTGGAGGTTCATCGGCGAGGCTCTTTTCCGGATGAATCGTGGATGAGGGCATTCATCGACTTGAAAGGTTGGTGGGATGCGAGATGGGTCAATGCAAACGATGTGTACGAGTACTTCGGGGTTAATACAACACCGGGCAGCGGAGGGGTCGTCCGAGTCGGTCCTTCTTTGGATGCACGTACAGACACCCTCCCAGCGTTGCTACATCCACATTCCGTTCGCGAAGGGAGATCATTGCCACAGCTCAGTTCGAAATCCAACCATTCAACCGTCTGGTACGACGATGGTGGTGATGGCACGCAATCTGAGCGTAGGGCCTCCGCGTCGAACGCACTCTCGACTTCCGGGACCCTACAGGCGCAGCGGACCGACTCTCACTCGAATGCAGAGCCCAGAGGTGGACAGGAGAGCGTCACTGATCACGATTTGCTTCCTCGTGACGAGCAGATTCACCTCGAGGGCCTGAAAGTCAGCACCATACGAAGCACTTCATCAAATGTTGTGGAGGAAGAGATCAACGGAATGGAGGGCGGCCAGGAGCGTGCGAGCGAGCTGGAATCCCCTACCTCGGCCGGACAGAATGCGGAGGATACGTTGGATAGAACTTTACCCCGCGGCGAAGTACCGTCGTTGAGTCAAAATAGACTGGTGCCTCGTGTCGGAAGCCAGCACAGCGATGGAGGGCAGGCGGATGCCACCAACAATGTTCTCATACGAGCAGACGTTGAGCACGACAATCTCACTGAGAATATCGGAGACGACGCCAAGTCGTCACTTGCGGCGGAGGAGGGATGATGCTTCTTGGGACGGAACATTTGTGCAGATACTTATGGTGACCGGAAAATTCGAGGTAAATATAAACCACATATTCTTCTGGAAGGCGGCAGGCGCCTGGCGACGCACGACTTTTCAAGGGTAGCGTATGTGCTACACAGAACTCGGAGCCTGTATTCTTCCCGTCCTCGTGAAGATCCGAGGACGTACATACGTGCTCGTCTTCGCAGTAAAGGAGCTGTCTTCAATGTGAAAGCTTATCGAATTCGGTAACTCTTTATTGGTGTCGCATAATATTTACACGATCTTTATCTAATTCATCGAAAATCAAATGGGACGTGGGAACAAAGAGGCTCTGTTAACGTGTCGCGCCCGTACCCACGATCGATGATCGCCCTCGACCGACGTTTTTCCTTTCCGGTCCGCTTTGCATCCGTTTACGTGCAATCGATCTGTCGAAGACACCCCCCCTCCCGGTGCATGGCTTAGCTCCCCCCCTCGAGATCTGTGCAGACCGAGACGCGTCTGGCGGGTGTTACGTTTGCGAGCGTCGTCGCCGGCTTGACCGTCTTCCATGCGCGCCATAATGCTCCGTCGGCCATTGTTCGAGGGTGTCTGGATTATCAGTCACAGACGGCACAGTACTCTTTGGGATGCGCCTGTCGAACACTCGTTCCTCACAAACTCGCTCGATCATCCCGTAACTCCGCTGGTTTCCGTCGCAAGCGGTCTTCCACCTCATATCGGTTTCTGGTCACACAGCGATCGTCACAACCAATGGTATCCAACGGAGGCCCCAATTCCTCATACCGCTTTCTTATCACGCAGCGATCGTGAACATACCAATCGTATCCGACGGAGGCTCAATTCCTTCATGCCGCTTTCTTGTCACACAGCGATCGCGACATGGCATTCGTATCCGACGGTCGCTCCAATTCGCGCATTCCAGCCAGTCCAACGCCGGGGCAAACCCCTAGCCTTTGCTCGTACTTAAGTCTAACTGTGCCCCGGGCTCTTCTTCACAAATATTCCCCCAACATCAACACACAAAATGTCCGTTCCTCTTACCTTCATCCACTCTCTCCCTGCGCCTCCGTCCGGTATCTCCCTCGGAGACCAACTCGCCGAACTCGTCACCGACGCCGGACGTGTCGAGACATTCCTCGACTGCCTACCGTCCACATCTCAGCCTGCGCTATGGTATCCCGACCCCCAGCGACCCCCTCTCACACACGCCGACCTCCGCGAGTTCGTCTCGCACTTCGCGCTTCCCGTCTCCGACCCTTCGAAGCGCCTTGGCCCCAACGACCGCGTGATGATCGCGCTCCCCACCGGGTGCGAGAACGCCGTCGCCCTCATCGCTCTGGCGACATATCACACCTGCGCGCCCGTTAACGCCAGCTGCACGGCTGCCGAGCTTCGGGAAGACGCAGAACGACTGGGCGTCCGCGCCGTGGTGACCACGCGCGATGCGGCCGAGCGTCTCGAGCTGCGGGAGCTGCGCGAGCACATCGGGTGCGAAATCATCTTCGTAGAACATCATCTTGGGGGGCCGGTGGGTCTCTTCGATATGGTTGTCGACAACGCGGATGGCTCGTTCGGCGTTACGTTACCGCCCTCCAAGCCGCACGGCCTCTACGATCAGTCTCTGGTCCTTCATACCTCTGGAACGAGCGGAAAGAAAAAGGTCGTCCCGTGAGTCGTTATTTGCATCGTTAACGTCTGTTGTACTGAACGTTTTTCAGTTATGCGCTCCGATCAATCATTATCGGCACGTTGGCCGTCGTCAAGTCCTGGGACCTGCGCGAGTCGGACGTCAACATGAATATGATGCCTCTTTTCCACGTCGGCGGTATCGTCCGGAATCTCTTCGCGCCTATGATGTCAGGAGGCAGCGCGATCATCGCCTCCGGGTTCGACGCCAACGCCTTCTGGGAACTTGCGACTGGTCTTGGAGCGACATGGTAAGAGCGTCGTATCTTTGACCTTCGAAAATTGCTGACGTTGTACAGGTATTACGCGGCGCCCACGATGCATCACGCCATCCTGTCCGCGCAACCTTCCGATATCGTCCCCTCGAAAGACACGCGGATTCGCATGATCTGCAATGCTGCGGGCGGGCTTCTCCCCGCGCTCGCTATACAGCTCAAGGAAACGTTCAACGGCGCTGTCGTTCTTCCATCATACGGAATGACGGGTACGCCAGTTTATTTGTTGTTTTGTAACGTCCTCTAATCCCCGCGTGCAGAATGCATGCCCATCGCGTCCCCGCCAACGACGTACCAGCTCGATCGTCCAGGGGTGCTCCGGCATCGCAT